AGAGTAGTTTGCCATTTCTTTCTCTAGCTCATTTTATAGATGAGGAAACTGAGGCAAACAGGGTGAAGTGAGTTGCCCAGGAAGATGAATTTTTTGGACTCCAGGTCTAACACTCTATCTGCTGTACCACCCAGCTGCCCCTACCCAAGGTAACACAGCTAATAAACATTGGAGAGGCAGGAATTAACCTCTGGTCCTCTGACTCTATGATTAGTGCTCTTTGCATTGTGCCAGGGACCTCAGAGAACATCTAATCCAAACCTCTCATTTTATAGTTGAGAAAACAGAAGTCCATCGTTTAAGGCCCAGATCAAGAATAAATATCTTAGAGGCAATTAGGTGGTGCAGTGGGTAGAGCACTGGCTCTGGAGTCAGGAAGGCCTGAGTTCAAATCTAGCCTTAGACACTTACTAACTGTGTGACCCCGAGCAAATTGCTTTACCCAGCTTGCCTCAAAAACCAACCAACCATCAAGGATAAATATCTTATCCTTTATGGAGTCTTTGCTGATTAGCCAAGCCTTACTCAGGACCCATTGTCCTGTACTCTAGGCATTTGGGTAATGGTCTTCTCTCTACCATTAAATTACAAAAAAGATTTTGGAGGTTTATTTATTTTTCTTTTAAAGCCCCAAGTCCTGCTATCTCATACATGGTTTCATGGGTTGCTATGGCCCAAAACTTCTTCAGCTGCTGGCAAACCCAATGGCAAGAAACTCTCTGCCTACTTAGCTAGGCTGGTCCTTGAAAAGTAAGTACAATCTGTTACATGGACTAGAACTAAAGCCTATAGCAAATTAGTACTCAGTATTGTGGAATGCTTGAACCCTCTCCTTCACTGATCTTAATCATGGGCTGTAGTGACAAGTATTTGCAAAGGGCTCAAGAAACCATAGGTCAAACCATTGATAAGAAAACATGACATCCCTAGACTGTCTCACACACATAGGTACATAGAGGGTATTCTGCTTATGTGACCCTGGGCAAGTCATTTAACCAATTCATCCAGTCTACAGCTTGTTTGAATGTTATTTCCTCCATTAGACTAGGAGCTCCTTGAGGGCAGGGATTGTCTTCTTCCCTTTCTTTGTATTTCTCAACACTTAGCATGGGGGTCTGGCACATAGTAGGTGCTTAATAATGCTTATTGACTGCCTAAATTAATCTTTCAGTGCCCTAGGAGTCTGTTTTAAGACTTCAGGTAGAAAAGCAGGTGCCTATTGACACTGGTAGTGGAATTTCTTCACAAGAGCTCCATGCACTGATGAAATCACAGGTCTAGTGAAAAATAACAAAAAAGTCAAAGCTATTATGATTAATAAAATACAAATTAATTTAAAAAACATTACTGAATCTATAGTCACCTTTTGTAGTATATTTTTCCCACTCCACAAATATTAATAGTTCAGTACTATAGTACAGTACTGAGTGGTGCAGTAGATAGAAGACCAAGCCTGAATTCAGGAAGATCTGAGTTCAAATCTAGCCTCAGATACCTAGCTGTGTGGTCCTGGACAAGTCATTTCATTCATATTTCCCTTAGTTCCTCATCTATAAAATGGGAACACATTGGAGAATAAAATGGCAAACCACTCCAATATCTTTGCCAAGAAAACCCCAGTCCATGGAGTCACAAATGGAACCACAAATATCTGGCACAATGGAGGCCGTGACCTTTCTTTTCTTTTTTTTTTTTTAATGTTAAAAAGGGGTCCTGATACTTGAAAAGGTGGAGAACCACTGATGTAAACACAGGCTGAGGGAGTTGCCCCTGTGGCAAACCAACCAATTAATTAACATTTATTAAGAGTCAGGCACTGTTCTTGGCACTGGTGATTAAAGAAATGAGACAGTCACTGCTTGCCTTCTACTAGAGGCAGTAGACACAAGTTTAGAGAAGTGAAAAAAGGATATAAACAAAATAAGAACACTGTATTGGGGAGGGAATGAATAAAACAACTGGGGGAAATCAGGAAAGACCTCTAGGAGGTGGTAACAGAACTGAGCCTATAAGGGGGCAAGGAGTTCTAACACGGCGTTATTGTTGCTTGTCCTTCATTCCGGAAGGAGGACCAATGATATCAGGAAGGGTAGGAAGGGTATAGATTTTGCAAAGACATGAAAGTGGGAGATGAGGGAACTGGTAAGGTCAATTTGGCTAGAATATAGAGTGGACTGAGGGGGAGTCATGTCTAATTAGTCTGTCACTAGAGTCTGGAGCCATATTGTGAAAAGCTTTAAATGATTAAACCACATTGTATTTTTTCCTAAAGGTAATGGAGAACGTCAGGATCAGACCTGTAATTTGGGAATATCAACTTGGCAGCTGAATGAGAAATGGCTAGTGCATCAGTTATTAGTTCTTTGGACTTGACAGTCAATATTGGAATTCATTTCCTGGCTCTATGCTTATCAGCATATGACCACAGCAAGTCATCTAACTTCCAAGCAGTAATACTTCCCTTGAAGGGTTAAGGCTCAAACTAGGTAACATATTAAAAGGATTTTTTAAAGTGTTATGTAAATATCACATTATTGTTATTGTTGAGTTGTATCCAACTCTTTTGTGACCCCATTTAGGATTTTCTTGGCAAAGGTACTGGAGTGCTTTGCCATTTCCTTCTCCAGGTCATTTTACAGATGAGGAAACTGAAGCAAACAGGGTGAAGGGACTTGCCCAGGGTCACACAGCTAGAGTCTGAAGCTAGATTTGAACTCAGGAAGAGCAGTCTTCCTGCCTCCAGGCCCAGCATTCTATCCACTGTGCCACCTAGCTGCCTGCCACATTATTACACTTGCTAAGAAGGGAAGCAAATCAAATGGATGATTTTTTTAAATCTGAGAAGCAATAAGTCACCTCCACCCGAATGTATGTCTGTCCCGTCACCCAGAATAGGGAACATGTATCCCGAAAGACAGGCAAAAGGAAGAGTGAGAGAACTTCTGAAAACTGACCCCATTAAAGGCCCAAGAAACCTAGGAAAGAAGTGGTCTAGAATCCCAGATTAACTCTACTTCCTTCCTCTCCTAAAACCACATTAAGGAGCAGGGCTGTTGGATCATAACCCAAGCTTACAGGTAGATAAAGCCTAGAATAAAAAGAGGAAGGGAAAATGAAGATATTGAATCCCAGGATATCCTGGGCTGGATCCCCAAGCAACCCAACAAGAGGGTGTCTGGACCACGGAGGGAGGCATGGGAAAATCCCAAGCCCTTTTTAGTATCTCCAGTCTGTCAATACACCAGCATCAGGATGCTGACGGTTTATATGAGCTTGTGAATTCTAGAGACCCACTTTGGCAAACACCAATCCAACCTACCAGGAGTGATAAACCATTCTGGATTATCCCCAGGGATTTCATACCCTGGAAGCAACCCAAATTTGTGGATAGGGCAGGGGCAGGGAACCTATGGCCTCAAGGCCACACGTGGCCCTCTAGGTCCTCAAGTGCAGGCTCTTTGAATCCAAACTTCACACAACAAAATCTCCTCAATAAAAGGATTTATTCTCTAAAATTTAGACTTAGCCAAAAGGCGGTACCCAAGGACTTGGAAGGCCACATAAGTTCAAGGCTGTAGGTTCCCCACCACTGGGCTAGGAGACAGCTGCTGCTGCATCTTTTCACCACCCTTAGTCCTAAGTCTTCCCTTTGCCCCGTTCCTGGCTTGGCTGCTCCTACAAACTAGCATACTGTGTTTAAATTAAGTCTGCTTCGCCCTGTGTAGATAAAATATACTTCCTTCAGTCCTAGCAACTAGTCCAAGATCACTTAATGAACTTTGTGGGTTTGGGATGGATCATAATGAACTTTGTGGGTTTGGGCACAGAATGGATAAATGGTGAGAGCCACAGGTTAAGACAAAAGGATTTTTTTTATTTAAAAACAGCATGTATAAAAAAAAAATAAGATCTTCTTTAATCCCCCTGTACAGTATTACACTTGATAAAACCAGCAGGCTACGTGCTGTTTGAAAACAGCCCCAGAATCTAGAAGGCGAGCACGCGCACACACTACCACATACACCACCATCCAGAAGGGTTATATACAAAGCAATACCCCTCCCCCATTACCCATGGAAACTAGACACGTGTGTGCAGGTGACGGGGACAAAGGCAGTCCGTCCAGAAGCTGCAAGACAGCTGTCTGGCCCAGGTCCTGCTACTCCATGCAGTGCAGAGGCACATACAGAGCAAGGATTGGCTGTCCCCCCCCTTCCTGCCCCCCACATATACACACCAATCCCCACCCCCAGAAGGTCCCCAAGTTGGAGAGAAAAGGAGGAAAAGAAAACCAGGATTGGCAGCCGTGGAAAGCTGGGGGGGGGGGGGGAGAAGAGAGGGTGACAGGCCAGAAACCAAATAAATAAATAAATAAATACATAACATTGACCTCCAGGTTAGGATGCGGTTCTCTTTTCTTTTTTTCTTTTTTTTTTTTTACAAAAAAAAAAGGAAAAAAAAAGAAATAACTTAAAAAGGCAAAAATTCAACAAAAAAAATTCCAAACAACTACAATCTTTTTTACACTAATGTGCCAAATGTACACACACATTTACAGTTTTTTCTTTTCCTGCTGAGTTGCATTGTCTGTGCATTTTGTTGTTTTTTTTTTTTTCTCTCGAGGTCTTGGCTTTGAAACATTAAGTTAACAACCAAGGAGGAAGCCCAGTTCTAAAGTTTTACTACGGGAGGCAGAAATCAGGCAGGTGAGGTGGCTCAGTGTTTGGCCCCACAGCTTCTTCCATGGCACCTTTCTTACGGATTGAGAAGGGAGAGGGGGGGAATTTGGGAGGAGGTGAAGAGAGAGAAGAGGGAACCAAACCCAGGCAGATTTTTGGAGAAGCAGCAGGTAGAGGGCAAATTCCAGTATTTCTCCCAGCACAGCCGGAGTCACCACAGAAGGCACTCTGAAGAGTTGGAAGGGGTGACAGTGATGAAATACAATGTTATTCAATTCAGTCCTATCCTATTTTTCCCCCCTGTCCAACCCTCCCCCCCACCCCCCACCCCTTTTTTTTTCCTCCAACCCTCCCAGCATTCAATAGAACTCTATAGGTTAGGAAATCAGTCTCAGCCCAGAGCTGAAGCCTCCAGATTCTGCAGTGTTGAGAAACACTGGTAACCTGGGGGAAGTGGTAAGGGGAAAATCCTTTGAAGTTGAGGCCCAGGCCACCTGGGATGGAGTAGTTTCTCCTAGTTAGGAGGAAGCCTCCAGGGAGCTTGGGTCTGGAATGAGCTATGAATTGTTCCTGTAACAAGCAAGGCCCTGCTTGATTCCAAGAGTCATCGGTACTTGGGAAGCAAGAGAAGGGAGGAAGCTTCTCTGCCCCGTGAACATCGGTGAGAAGGTGGAGGGGTGGGGGGGAGCTTGAAGAGAGGCTATTATTTGCTGGACTCTGGCATCAGGCTGTGTAGGTGGATTTCTGCTGTCTCCTGGGGCATGAGCACATCTTGCATCCATGGATGACTCTGGATCTCTTCAAAGGATGGTCGATCTGATGGTCTCAGAGCCAAGCACCACTTAATGAGATGCTGACATTCTGCATAAGGCAAAGGGAGGCAGGTGGTGATTAACAGGAGTGACAACTTGGCTTAGCAATGCAGTCTGCCCACTTTGTTATAAGAGGATAGGTATAAAAAGTCAAATCTGGGTGTGGTGACCCCCTCAGCCCTGCTGAGGCTACCCTTACTGGATGATCAACCTTGTTTGTTCTTTACTTAAAAGGTATTAACGCTTGCATCCTTCAGATGCCTTAGTGGGGGTGGGGGGGTGGGGGGGGGCGGAGAAACGGGCCACAAAGCATCTTCCCTTCAGTCAAATAATTTCCAAATTTTTATTGATGTAACTAATCAAAAGATCATCTAGCCCACAATTCCACCCCAACAAGAAACAGGAAGGACTTTAGATGAAGCACCAATAAGATGAAATTAGTCATTCATGGCAGAAACATTGCTATATTATAAACAGTTCATAACTTCAAAAGACAACCTGCAACACTTTAAAAATCTATAACTGCCTTTAAGATCCTTTACTCTGGAGCTGCATCAAGAACCGAAAATATTAGCCTATGTTTAAATATAAGAATTTAAACTTTCAAATAATCTAAGGTGTTGTATGTGGGGTTTTTTTTCTTAATATGCTCATTGGTGTTAAGGTGACTCACTGGTGCTAATGAACAAACCACACAGGCTATCCCTTTTAGTTCCAAAAGAAAGCAAAACAGACTAGTTTCTTACTGGGCCCAGGTATGAAGCATGAATCATCAGTCTAGTGTTACACCATTCCTGAGGTCCCAGACCTGTTCTGAACCATCTATACAAGAAGCCTGACAATATATCCATTTGGCTTCCTGGATTCTACTCCAATTCAAAGACTCTACCTAGTTCAAAATGGAACAAGTCCTTTTATGAACCTGTATCTAGAGATGAGACATACACACTTATGCAAGTTATCTAAACAAAGCTGTGTTTTTTTTGTTTTTTGCTTTATTTATTAAGTTACCTGAAGAGATTCTTTGCCTGAAGAAAACTTGGCCCCGGATAATTTCCTCATCATGTTCAAAGGGAATATCACCACAGACCATATCATACAACAAGATGCCCAAGGACCACACTGCTGCAGACCTGCCATGGTATCGGTGGTAACGGATCCACTCTGGCGGGCTATACACTCGGGTACCTGCACAAGACACCATGGGAAATTAGTAAGGAAAACGTGCTTTTTTTTTTAATCAAAGAGAAATAAGAATGGTATACATAGTTGCTCTAACCCAAATATTTCATACCAGACACTGTGGGTGCTAAATGTTTGTTAAGGATTAATAAGGGAGTAGGTGGCTCATGGTATTTCCCGGATGTCTAACAATAAACTGAAGTTCTTTAAAAAAAATTTAATTCAAGAAATAGGGCTTTTTTTTTTTTTGGTAGAGAGGCAGTGATAGACACCAAAGACAAGACAGACCACCAAATTTATTAGCTAGAACACCTAGGGAGGAGAGTTTGAATCCCAGCTCTGTTCCTTTTGGGGCTACTGAAGCTATCATGACAGAAACACTGTTATATTATAAACAATAACTTCCAAGAGACAACCTGGACCACTTTGAAAATCTATGACTTGACTTCCCAAGTATAATTGACATCTTTATTGCTTGCCCTCTCAATGGGTGGGGGAGAAGGAAAGAATTTGGAGCTCAAAAAAAAATTTTTTTAAATGAATGTATAAATAATTGCAAAAAGAAAAGCTATAACTGTTTTTAAGTTCCTTTTCTCTCTGGCACTCTGTCAAGAACTGAAAACATTAGGCCTATGTTTAAATATAAGAATTTAAACTTTCAAGTAATCTAGGATGTTGTATTATTTCAGATTTCAATAAATTTTTAAAAATACTCTTGTGCTGAAGTAGATGTAGAAGTAAAACTTCATTTTACAGACACGGAAACTGATGCTCAGAAAGGTTATGAAATTTGACCACAATTCAGAGAACTGGTAAATGAGGGACTCTTCTGGGCCTCAGTTTCCTCTTTGGTAAAAAGAGATGTAGACTAGCTCTCATGCCCTTTTTAAATCTAAATGCCAAGGTCGAATCTCCCCCTTCAGCCCCTTTCAGGAGAGGGCCCATAAAAAAATCAAGGTAGGTCTTAAGGAAATCTTACATATTTACAACCAACTATTCTTAAAAGTAAATTCAAATGTTGCCAAACACTTGACTCTCATCCAAACTGGTACACTTCCATGACATCAGAAATTGGGCTCCCATGCCCTTGTAAGTGCTTTTATGCCTAGAGCATATGCTTAACCTAAGCCCACGCCCTCTTCTCCCTGCCCTGCTACTACCTCCTCCTCCTCCTCCTCCTCCTCCTCCCCCCCAGGCAGGAAGAGTAGGCTGAGGTCAGAGCAGTAGGGCTGGTTTCTAGGCCACGTGATTCCTGTTTACAAACTTTGGGTTGTAAAAAAAAAAAAAAAAAGCACACCCCTGCTTCTTGCTCACCAGGGGGCAGCAGAGGCTTGGAAAGGTGGGAGGGTCCTGCCAGCCATTAACTGTGAAATACAAAAAATGCAGGCCAGGCCCAGCATCTTCCAAGGGCAAATAAACATAAACCACAAGCCCAAGTCACAGGTTTTGAAAGTCAGCAGTTTGTTAGCTTAAGCCTCTCAGATCATTACCCACCCTCCTTTTCTTTGATGTCAAGTGTAGGGAAGCTCCCACATTCCTCTCTGCAGCAGAAAGGACCAGCCCCAAACCCCTCCTCTTACCCTAATGCCTCTATTTGGCACGGGGAGAGGGGAGAGTTATGAGATCAAGTGAGAGGGGGTGGGGGAAAGAATGAACTCATTTTAAAATCTACAGATCTTATTTCACAACATTCATCCCTGGACCGAAAAACAAAAACAAACCACTACCACCTTTACCAGCAAAATGAATAATTTAATGAAATGACAAGAGAACAGTTTCTCCTTCCTGATTGACTCAGCTAGATCAAAAGAAAAATAAACGGAGACCACCCACTAGAAACTACCAGCAAATTCCTCTTCTTTCCAAACCCCTTTCTCCTCCCGTAGTCACTCTATCCTCAACACCCCTCAGGGCTTGGAAAACTGGGTCAGGATTCTAAAATCTGGGCTATGAGAAGTCAGGTTTGGTTGAACCCAGTCTCTTATCCACAGGAAAAAGGCGTGGGACCCAGTGAACTGGGAAGGTTAGGAGGGGAATGCCACAACTCAGATTCTTGCTAGAAACTACAGGTTCAACAGAGCCGAACCTTGCTCCTTTCTGATAGCTTGCAAAGCCAAGCTTATCAAAGTCCTAAAGGCTAAATTGGTTGGTCTTCCCTAAGCACACAGGAGAACTTCAAAGGTTTGGATATCTTTCTCCCGCCCCACCCCCTTGAAGCTGCCCCTTTGCAGCCAGCCCGATTTCTTCCAGCAAGGCAAGATGACCTTTGGAAAAAGGTCGAGGAGAAAAGCAGCAAAGAAAGGCCCCTTAGGATGTGGACAGTTCTAGGACAGAATAATGCTGCTGTGTCTAGCCAGCACCTGCCTTTTCCCAGTGTCTCCAAAAGCCCGGGGGGGGGGGGGTTCCCACTCACCATCAAAGTCAGTGTAGACTGTGTCCTTAAGCAATGCCCCGGATCCGAAGTCAATCAGCTTGAGTTCCCCCCGGTTCAGGTCGATGAGAATGTTTTCATCCTTGATGTCTCGGTGCAGCACCCCACAACTGTGGCAATGCCTGACAGCCTCCAGCACCTGCCAAAAGAAGCTTCGGGCCAGCTCCTCCTGCAGGGCTCCCCGCTCCGTAATAAAGTCAAAGAGATCCTGGACCGGCTCCGGCCGCTCTAGCACCAGGATGAAACTGTCGGGCCTCTCGAACCAGTCCAGAAGTCGGATGACCCCAGGAAACCCCGAGCTCACTTTCTTCAACAGAAGGATTTCCATGGGCACTCGGTTGCCATTGGGCTGTGGGCAAGATTCACGGGAGTCAGGAGGGGTGGGAGGGGACGAAGGTAGAGACACAGGGATAGAGACACGTTCATCTCCCCCAAAAAGATACCAGTCCCAGGCACTTACCAGCTCCCCCCAGTCCGAGATCCTATCCCGGTCCACGTGCTTGATAGCAACCTGCAAACCCCCCCGAAGAGAAGGACATTAGGTTACCGCCAAACCCACTCACCCAGGCCCTCCCCAGCCAAAGATCCTCTCCGCCCCCTCTCCCCAGCCGGGGGTTTCGGGAAACCAGGGACAAGAGTTAAGGGGAAGGCTCCCGACGTTTTTGGAGCCCACTTACCGGTGCGCCATCTGCTAGCCGGGTTCCTGAGTAGACAGACCCAAAGCCACCGCTGCCGAGCAGTGGGCCCACCTGGTACTGCTTCTCCAAGGGCTCCTTTTCTTTTCCTTCGGAGGAAAAGGCACCGTCAGTGACTGTGAAGCGGCCCCCTACCCATCCAATCACCCATCCGTCAGTCCGTCAGTCCTTTCATCCATCTATCCGTCAGTCCCCGCATCACCTCTTTTCTCCAGGTCCGTCCTTTGCCCAAGCGTCCCCCTCCTCGCCGGCTCTGCCGGTGTGCACCCTCTCCGCTCCACTCCCCCGCCCCTAACCCCACCGTCCTCCCTTCCCGGTCGGTCCGGTCCGGTCCAGGTCCCCGCCCTCCACGCCGGGGTGGGTCCTCACCGGGAGGCAGCTTGGCCGAGTGCAGCTCCACGCAGGGCCCGGAGCACAGGTGAGCCAAGGAGTTGATCTTGGACAGCAGCATCCCCGGGTACAGGGGTGACAAGACGATGGAGCGGACGCTGCCGGGGCTGGGCGGAGGGTGGAGAGGCAGGCGGGGACTGGGGTGGGGGCGCTGCCGGAGCGGCTTGGCGGGATCAGTGTGCCGCAGCAGAGCCCGCGGCGCTGCGGTGCTGAGCTCGCCGCTGCAGAAGCCGACCCGTCGCTGCTGCTGCTGCTGCTGCTGCTGCTGCTCCTGCGGCTGTTCGGGCTGCTGCTGCCGCTGTTGCCGCTGCCGCTGCTGCTGCCGCTGCCGCTGCCGCTGCCGCTGCTGCCGCCACCGCCGCCGTCGCCTCTGCCTGTGTAGCCACCGCCGCCGTTCCTGCTGTTTCTTAGACTTCTTCCGCCGCCGCCGCCGCCGCCGCCGCCACCGCCGCTTCTGCCGCCGCCGCCGCCGCCGCAGACGCCCGGCTCGCCCGGCAGCCAGGAGTAAAGGGGGCGTAGCTCGCGGGAGGGGGGGTCGCGCTGGCAGGCGGGCGAGCGGGCGGGGCCTCTCCAGGAGGCTGGGCGGGGTGGGCGGGGGCGGGGCGCCCGGCTGCTGATTCCGCGGTGGGAAGAAAACGGGGGGGACGGTGGGGAAAGCAGCTGGGAAGGAGAATTCCCCACCGCACGGTCGGCACGACTAAACCCCGCCCCCACAAGGCCGCCCCCAGCCAACCAGAGCCCAGCGGATCTGCATAAAGAAAGTGCCCCGCCCCCAAACGCCCCCTCCCCCCTATCGTCAGAATGGTAGCTACGCCGCCTCGACGTGGCGGGAAGGAAAAGGCGCCAAAATAGAGGGGGAGGGGCGAGAGAAGTGCGGGCTCCGAGAGGAGGAGGCGGGAGCAGGGTGCAGGGCCACGGGGAGGAAGGATGGGGAGGGGCTTATCAATTCAAACCCAAACAATAACAAAAGCCATCAAAGGAAGCCTGGGGTCTGCCCACCTCACTCCCCTCTTCCCCCCCTTTCTCTCTCTCTCTCTCCCTCCCACCTTCCTCCCCTTCCATTCCCCCCTTTCTTCCCCTCTCTCCTTTCTTTTCCTTTCTGTCTCTTTTTCTCCTCTGCCTCCTTCTCTTTCTCTATGCAAGGACCCGGGGGTCAGGCTTTTGCAGTAGACCAAGTTCGGTGACGATTCCATCTATCAGTCGGGGTGGCAGTGGAGAATGGGAGAACAGGGGGTTGGGTGTGTATGTCGAGCAGGGTGGTCGGGGCGGGGGGGGGGAGTGTCTTCTTTTTGTATGTGTGTGTGTGTGTGTGACCTCCATGCCTGCTCTGGCTGGCTGAGTGGACGCGGGGTTTGCTCCACATGAGTCTGTGGTTGAAGGGCAAGCGCCCGGTGGTGCGGGTGAGGGGGTGGAGGGTGGCACTGCAGGGCCGTGAGTCATGAAAGGAGTGGGGATGGCTCATAGGTCTTTGGAACAAAAGTGGGCTCAGAACTCTCTAAAACCAAGGAGAGGGTTATTTATCCATCTGGATGATTTCAGCCTTTCAAAAAAAAAAAGGTGGCATTTAGATACTTTTTACAATTAAAAAGAAAAAAGATCAGTCATCCTCGCCTCTGTTCTAGACGCGGTTCCCACTGTGTTCTGTGCTGGGTGGGGTGGGAGAGGGAGATCACGCTTATCTGAGATAGAGTCCCCGCCGATTTGGATTTGAAGCTTCTGGTTTCATTCACATTTTTCACCTCCCTCCCCCACCCTGACCACACCCAGCTTTGTTGCTACTACAGAGCTCTTCCCTAGCCTTCTCCCGCACTACCTTCCAAACCATTTGCAAACTGCTAACAAAGTGCAAAATGAGTGATTGAATTTTCACTTTCTTTTGATTTTTCCTCCTTAATATAAGAGGATGCTTAACCATAATATGGATTGAGTTAAGATTGCAGGTGGAGCGCGGGTGAAAAATTAGCACCTCAATATTCGGATTCCACAAGCCTGAAACTGAATTTACTAAGCGTGCCTCCACCCCAAACCATCCCGAAAACTTCTCTGCTTCTGTAGAAGGAAACCGGGTTCCCAACCTCGAGACGTCGTTGACTCACCTCCCTCCCTTTACTCCTCTCCACCCCCATCCAATGAGTTTGCTCACCTTGTCGTTTCTATCAGAAAAACATCCCTCAGTTCCCTTCATTCTCCTCACACAATCCATACTACTGTCCTAGTTCTCATCACTTCTTGGTAGGACCACTAGAATGACCTTTTGATTCATTCCTCTACTTTCAGTCTCCCTTCTCCAATCCATCCTCCACACTGCTGATCTTGGTGAGGCACTTGTCTTGACCAAGTTTCCCCATTCCTCTCTTCTAAAGTCTTCTGTAGCTCCCTGCTGCCTCCAGGACAAAATACAAATTTCTCCTTCCAGCAGGGATTAGAGATTGGAAAGAGCCCTCCAAAATCCAGCTCCCACCTACGTTTCTGGATTTGTTTCCTATTATTTCCTTTTATAACCTCATGTAAGTATGATCTGCATCTTCTTTGCAGAGGTTACCCTCCTGTGCTTGGAATGCACTTCTCTCCTTACCTCTTTCTAGAATTCCAGGTTTCCTTCAAAAGTTCATTCCCCATTCCCCTAGTTAATTTGTCCCTTCTGAAATTTCTTTGCATTTTTATCTGTGGGCACAGGTGTTGTATACCTTCAGTATAAAGTAAGCCACTTGAGGGTAGGAGCTGTTTTGTCTTTGTATGCCCCAAATGTAGCACTGTCACTTTTTTGTGAATTCCTCTTTCCTGTACTTTGCACATAGTAGGTACTTAATAGAAATTTGTGGAAAATATAACTGCTTAGTTAGCAATATTTTATTTTAAATTCTCTTTGCTTAGGTTGCTGCTACTTGAAAAGAAAAATAGGGAAGAGTAGTCTGGATGTCTTATACACCCACTGTCAACTATGGTATTTACATATTTTACTAAAAACTTAGCACTTTATTTGCTTTAGAAAGAGTACATGTTATTTGTATAGCACATGTTTGTTAGTTTCTTTTTATTTTCTTGTTTGTGTGTTGTGGCTTAATTAATTAGTAACTCATGTTTGTATAGTTTCCTCAGAACAATCCCTTGATTTAAGAAGTCAAATATTATCCAACCAGGCTCTGAGAGGTTCTGATTTGCCTGTTGTCACCCAGATAGTAAATGTCTGAAATAGGATTTTAAAATCCAGGTCTTTTAACTACCAATCTATCCCTTTATCCACCACACTAGTGCTGAAACCTAATGTTTGATGTTAAGACAATGAGACATAGTTTGCCCCAACATTCATTGCCTTTGTACATATTATTAAAATGGATGATGAATGAATACATTAAAAGACTAACAACTCCAAACTCTTTAACCTGGCCCCAAGCCTTCCTGACAAACCTTATCTCTCAGGAACCTTGACCTCTGGAACTATCACTTCAAGCTAAACTGGATTTGTTCTATCTCCTGTGATCCTATTACATGCCTAAATATGCTTTGCATTTTTCAACCTCATCATCTCTTCCTCTATCCTAACCAAGTACTGTTGTTGTTGAGTTGTGTCTGACTTCATGACCCTGTGGGCTGTAGCACACCAATATGTCCATGGAGTTTTCTTGGCAAAGATACTGGAGTGGTTTGCTATTTCCTTCTTTAGTGGATTAAGGTAAACAGAGGTTAAGTGACTTGCCCAAGGGCACACAGATAGTAAGTATGTCTGAGATTGGATTTGAACTCTGGTCTTCCAGACTCCAGTCCCAGCTGAATCAACTAACTGCCCCAAACAACTACTGCCAGTCCTTAAAAATTCAGCTCTGAGCTCCATCATGGAGCCTTCTCAGCCTCCCCTACTCCCCTATTGTCTATTCTACATATTTGTCAATAAAATAAAAATTAAAAAATAACACCTGGGGGCATGTCTTGTACTGTTTCGTTATTTATTGCTTTTTTATTTTTATCTATTTTCTGTCTAACCTCCAGCATAACTGCCTCAGAGGCAGAATGATTTTGATGTTAAGTGCCCTAGTCTTCAAATTACAGAGATCTGAGTTCTCAATGTGTGTTTCGCTCATTCTCTTAGAGTCTCAGTTTCCTTATCTGTAAAGTGGAGATGAAATAATACTTTTATATTACCTACTTCAAAGGGTGATTGTCAGGAAAATGCTTTGTAAATTATAAAGATTATATAAACATGAGCCATTTGACATTGAAAAAGAGTATATAGCTATATTTTATTGCTACTTTATATTTTCAATAACATATAAGCAAATACCTTGCAGGCAGTAGACCCTTAATAAATATTCCTCGATTGAGAGTGGCCTGGAGCACTGAGGTTTAGGACTTCAGCCAGGGTTACAGCCAGCCTTTACCAAAGCTGAAGTTTGAACCTAAGATTTCCAGACTCTTTATCAGCACTGCTCACTAAAGCTGCCTATTTTCATTGAAAGGAGAAACAAGAAGCTTTTCAGGATGACTTTTAAGAGAAATCTCATGATCAATATTAAACCCTGATGCAGTGTTGAGTGTCTTATGCAGATCCCACAATCAGAGTAAACTCTTTTGCATTTGAGTCTTTCTTCAGTGTACTAGATTTGAGTTTGTTCTTTTGACAATTTACCAGCTTCATGATCAATTACTCTCAGCAACTCCTTTCAACTTCCTGGGCCTCAGTTTCCCCACTACCAAAAAGGGAGTAGTAATAATACTTGTAGGAGAGGCATCATGGAGTAGTAGATTGAGAGCCAGCCTTGAAGCCAAGACCTCCCTCAGCTCCCTCAGCTCAAGTGACCCCTCTGACACATGGCACCTGTTTGACCCTAGGCATATCATTCTCAGTTCTCTAGACAACCCTCTTAGACTCCAAATTTCAGTAAAGGTGCTCATCAACTTTGGTAGATGGAGATTCCTTATTGGGAGTTTCCTTTATCAATGAAATCACAGACCTAGTCCTGATTCTAATACCTGCATTTGTTCTGTTGTTTTCAGTTGTGTCCCACTCTTTGTGACCCTACTTGGGGTTTTCTTGGCAAAGATACTGGAGTGGTTTGCCTTTTCCTTCTTCAGCTCATTTTGCAAATGAGAAAATTGAGGCAAATGTGGTTAAGTGAGTTACCCAGCTAGTAAATGTCTGAGGCCAGATTCAAACTCAGGAAGATGAGT